CAATCTGGTACGAGTAATGATCTGCTTCAGAAGGGTTTGTCAAGAACGCCGCTTTAGCTGTGGCCGTCATCTTGCTGGCCGTCATCTTGCTGGCCGTCATCTTGCTGGCCGCCATATTCGCCTTGGCAAGACAGTCGAGACGATAATCAAGGCGTGGTGCGGAGTGGGCGCGAGCGATTTCTTATCACTCACGACGGAATTGATGCTCTACTAAAACGCCACTAAAAATGAGTGACCAGAAGCTTAAATCGGGCACTGCCGTGGAAACAAGTGGTGGTCCTCTATTGAACCTGGCTCGGAACGGGATCCTTGCCGACAGAGGATGCACTGCGCCTTCTTGACTGAGAACGGATGGTGAAGTGGTCCATGTGTTGGTCACTGGGTAAGATTTTGAGACTGCCTAAGAGATCCGTGGATGTTCCAGATGTCTCGAGATGTAGGACTCAACAAAAGAGAAAGAGTCCCTCACCTAGCCAAACCCCTAGAGATTCTAAAATAATACCATCGACATCTGGAATAAATCGGAGGACAGCTCTACGATCCTCCCGGTCGTCATATCACCTAACCATGCCAAAATTCATATCGCGCCCTCTGTACCTGGAGCCACCAGACTGCCAGAAGGTCTTTTTTTGACGTGGCTTCGAACTTTGCCTCCGGCAGGATGTGGTGCTGGTCTTGGCGTTGGAGCGCAGACTTGCCGGCGGCAAGCCAGAGACAATGCACTACATAGTACATGGTGCAGGGCCCCTCGGCTATCATCACACTGCAGGACGTCGTGCATCTCAATTTGAAGGCGTGGACACGGGCGATACCGTGCAAGGGCGTACTTGTATGCAGAAACCAGTTGAAGACGCAGATTGTTGGTGGGTGGGAGCTTCGAAATTACCAGCCAGTCCGTACTCCGTATTGTTCCAACACCCGAGTCACCATCTTCGTGAACAAGAAGGTGGAAAGCTCGATACGCGTGGCTGTCGCACCGACCATACTCAGGATTTCAGCACACACTAGACATATTTGTCGACAGGTAGCAGAACGAAGTGAATGAGTGTTGGACTTTGGTGCCCGTGTTCCGTATTACCGGTCTCTAAGACAGATGTGCCTGGTTCCGAATCATCTCCGCAAGGCATCGTGGTTGCACCTCAACGTGACGATGCCCGATACAGAACCAGCCGCATGCATCTAGCGTCCCATGAAGTGCGGAGGTGAAAATGTGGCTGTCGGCTGAAGGGCGTATGACCCATAACATGCGGTGGTATCCCACGCCTTCGTGCCTTCGTAGCAGACTGTTCATGCTTGTGTTGACCAGTGTGAGACGACGTGAAGAATCATCATGCAGTTGGCTAGCAAATATTCCCTGTTGCCACGATCAAGACTGGCTAGAGCCCAAATCGTGCTGTCATCTCAAGTTCTCACCGCAGCATTGCCGGAAATAGCACCCAAGCACCCTAGAGAACTGGGGGATAGATGCAATCCAATACCACCTGGCCAATTGGTCCCCGGTATTGAATCATGGTGCAGTAAAACAAGTGACCCGGATCCGACGATGATAATGCTTTGACAGGAGGTCTATTTCTGAAGTAACCCTCAAGCGGCCTACCTGACCTGACCGCTGGTCTTACCTAATTCGTCATTCATATCCCTTGGCTAACCCTGATACCTACGGACAGCTGTCCGCAGCTGCCCGCTTGTGCACACACAAAAACACAGACGGGAGTAGACTGCCACCAACACGGGCCAAGTTGCAGGTGACCTGCCTGTGTTTTCACTTTTTCCAGTTACTTGTCTACCTACCCTAGGTACCTTGTAGAATCGCATCTGTCAGCCGGTCTCGCGAAGCCACCGACGGTTTCTCTCCACCTCCGTTTTCGTGTCACCATCGTGCTTTGTCTTTGACATAACTCCGTACGACGTCGACTATCAGTGGTACAGGACCGCCTCCCCACTCCGTACTTCCAACACCCCGACACAAACGGCTATCGCCCACAGGTCCTACCCCATTGGTGGATCTGCCCAGGGACTCGGCTCCCAACTACGAGTAGGACCCTTTGTTGCGGGCGTGAGCCACCATATCTCTTGTCTGACTTTGATAGCCTGCTCGAATGTGGTTCACTCAGTTCTATGCTCTACAGTGAATTTTGCCGGTAGAGGCCTGGTCTGCATGACACAGAGGCGAGGTCCACCGACCAACGCCTGAACGGGCTAGGAAAAAAGGGGGGCTCTAATAAGCGGACGTTGGGAAGCCATGGATTTCTGGACACTTCTGACCACCAGGTCTTCTACCCTTGTGTCTGTTGCTGTTGCCGTTTTAGTTGGATACCGGCTATTAAAGCTGCTATCAAAACGCTCTCGTGGGCATCTCCCGCTTCCCCCAGGCCCGCCTGGAGAGCCGATATTGGGTCATCTGCGCGTTATCCCGACGGATAACCCCGAGTACGCTTATATGAAATGGTCCGAGGAATACAAGTCGGACATTTTGTCCTTCAGTGTCCTTGGTCAACCAGTCATTGTTCTCAACTCAGTCCGTGCCGCAGTTGACCTGCTTGACAAACGAGGTGCCAACTATTGTGACAGGCCAAGATTCGTCTTATTTGAGATCATGGGATGGGGCAAAACGCTTACCTTCTTACCATGGGGACAGACTTTTAGGACGCACCGTCGAATTCTACAAAAAACTTTCCAGAAAGGTAATATTGTGCAATACCGCCCGGTCCAAGAACGGGAAACTGCGTTGATGTTGCAAGGCATACTTGCGAGACCTACCTTGTGGGATAACGCTATTCGACGGTTCGCTACCGCTGTTGTTCTTGGTATCGGCTTTGGCATCAAGGTGGAACAGGATAGCGATCCATTCATTCAAGTTGCTGCGGATGCTAGCTATGCTTTAGCTCATGGAGGTGCTCCTGCAGGAACTCCTGTCGACTTCTTCCCATTTCTCAACTCCTTACCGTCTTGGTTTCATGATCGTTCGCTCACATTTGCCAAGGATTGGAAGTGGGCCATTTGTAACTTGCATGACAAGCCTTTCGATGCTGTGTTGGCCTCCGAAGAAAGGACTGATTCCCTTGTGCAAGACATGCTTGACCAAAGACAAGCCCAAATTGAAAAGGGTGAACAGCCCGAGTTGTCGCATGACGATATCAAAGGAGCAGCTGGCGCTGTTTTTGCAGCCGGCCAAGATACAACATGGGCAACTCTGACTGTGTTTATTCTAAACATGCTCCTCCACCCTGAGATACAGACCAAAGCACAAGTTGTATTGGACAAGGTTACCGGCCGCAACAGGCTACCGAATTTCAACGACAGACCACAGCTCCCGTACATTGACTACATTGTCCAGGAAACATTAAGATGGTGTCCTGTATCTCCTATGGGGGTTCCACACAAGTCATTGAAAGATGACACTTATAGTGGCTACTTCATCCCTGCAGGATCTTTCGTGTGTGCAAATGCCCGAGCCATGACCCACGATGGACGTATATTTAAAGAACCGGATAATTTCAATCCCGAAAGATATGCGACCGAAGAAGATGGCGGTTTAGGGGAGCCTTTTCCGATTGGCCAATTTGGTTATGGCCGCAGAGTATGCGTCGGCAAACACCTGGCGGAAGCGAGCGTTTGGATAGTGGTAGCAACCATGCTAAGCACTATGAACATTGAACCAGTCAGAGATGAAAACGGAAACGTGGTTATACCCAAAGTAAAGCTTACCAATGGCTTGACAAGTCATCCAAAGCCTTTTCAGTGCCGAATTGTACCAAGGGATGAAAGAAGCGCTAATATTGTTCGAAGCGCAACGACATGACGAAATACATCGTTCTTGTTTAACAGGCTTATGAGACAGGACACAAAAACAATTGTTACGCTGATTATATCTGTCATGACTGCTGCTCCACTGGTTATAAATGAGCTCTTCCTGTTTTCAGATCCCACGCCCATAACCCCAACACGATGGGAACGCAAAAAAAGCTAAATACCAAGCTTCCCCCAAAGACTGGTGCATGATATGTCCACGCATTGCTCTTATCCAAATTTGCTACCTGGCAAACAATGGCCCAAGGCAACACGTAAAGCAAATTGCTTGCCAAACTCTGCCAAAGATACCACTTTGGTCTAGTTGCCAGCAGAACAGCAGCCAACAGTGTCGAAACAGCATACAAGATGTGGCACCAGTCTATAGTCTTCCACATATGGGCTGTCACTTTGGCAACGTCGTCGTTTCTACTGAGAAACTTTGCAAACGGTCGTGCCCCCCAGAGGGAAAGAAAGACAGACAGGAACTTCAAAGACCAAAGCAACGAAAATCTACTTACACGCCGGTCTGGTAATACTAAGCAAGCTCCCTAGACCGACTTTGGTCACACCGGCAAATTGTCTCTTCCAAATGCCCCAATCGTGTCCTACAAATGTCAATGTTGTTGCCTCAAGTGCAGAAACCGGAACCATGACAAGGCCCCAGCGAATCGTGTTGAAGACGCTCCATGCCGTAGCGTACGTTGCTCCCAAGCTGGTAATGTTGGTAATCAACCAGAGGTATAAAGCGTTCCGAACTGTGGATTCAATAAAGGTCAGCACTCCACGGGAACCCAGGACCTGGAGCGCTTGAATCGAGGGTTTCGGTATCGTTGACCGTCGTCCTCCGTCTCTCTCTCGCTCCCCCTCCTCATGCTCTTCCTCATTCTCCTGCTTGCGGTGTCGGTGCACAGCAAGCAAGCACGCCAGGCCGCTAAATGCAGCGGTCAGATTACAAGTCACCTGAATACCAGCCTGCATATTCACACTAGGCGTGTGCCGTCCCACATGAAACGTTGAAATCAGCAACATGTCCAGCACGATATTGGCCGCAAACTTGATACCGCTCAGCACAAGCGGAGCGTCAGGTCTAGATAGTCTATCTAGCGCCCTCGCTGACGTAGCAACAGCGGCCTTGATGGCACTGCCGAGGGCGGAAAATGCGCTGATCCGCACGTAAGTTATGCTGCCGTGGCGCACTTCAATGGGCACGAAGCTCTTGGCGAAAATCTCGGCAGCACCGAGGATTGATATGACATGACTGGGCCGAGGATAGATTGGGCAAGAATAAGGGTGTATGTCAGGGACAGGCGGCGGGTGTAGGGCGCCGTGGTGTCACCGATGGTAGACCATGCTGCTCGGGGGAGGCCATCGTTTACGACTTCCGCTATCGTAGTGATGTATGTGTAACGTGCTTCAATCTTTTGTCAGCCAAGTCTAGTGATGAGTGAAGGGCAGCGGAAGGCCCAGCAGACTCTGTCGTCACGACCATTCGTGAATCAATATTCGCAACCCACAGTTTCACAAGTGTTCCGTACAGAGCGGCAGTGTAAAGGACAAGACGTTGAACCACAAAGCACCGCTGAACTGGGCCCTCACCCAGCGACGCTTGTAGAAACGAAGGAGCCCGAGCATGATGTGAAGACAGGAGAGGAGGACTCCCCATAGGCATTGCCACTAGGACCTTTCATTTTCACGAAATGGTTGTATGTTGTGTAACTCGAGATGCGAGATGTTTGTGCCACTTTAAACGGCACACGGTACCCAATGACTCTCGCCGCTTCATGCCATCCATGTCCTGTGTCTCATAACTCTCCACGGTCAGGATGCGGTTGACTTGTGAGAGCAGGGTTTGAACTGGGTGTGCTATCCTGAGGCTTGTCCTTGAGGAGGCAATTCAAGTTGGCTGACGACAGACACAATCTAATGTGGCAGCGAGTGCCTGGATCCCACCTTCTGAAGGATCATCGGGGTCGGACCATCGCTACGTCTCTGGCAGGGAACTGCTGTACTCGTATGGCCACGGTTGCACAGAGTCATACGAGTGGCATCTTGATCCTGATGCTGGAAAGATCATTCTCAGACGACCGGCGGGCTTTATTCTGGTAAATACACTAGAACGAAGAGCTTCCGGCTGTTATTAAACTATAATTGTGAACGAGTTAAGAACTCTAAAGAAGCTTTTCGCACTATACGCTGGCTGTATTAACGATGTTTTCGTCACGTTATAAGATTCTAAATAGCGGCTGCAGACATCTAGCTTTTAAATATAAAAGAAGCCACTGACCTAGCTAAATAGCTTCAATTCAGGGTTAGTCCAGTGTTCAATGCGACTCCATAGCTGCCAAGGGATGGCGAAAGTGTAAGTCTGGCAGTTGAACGATCTCACCACCACTGGTCTGCAAACGCGCACGTGTCGGAGCATTATCGAGTTTTCCCACTGAGCTGTCGAGCAAAAAAGATCCAGAAATGGCGGCCCTCGGTCGAATCCGCCAATACTCAGCTTACAAGTGTGCCCCTTTTGGCTCTCTCTCTCTCTCTATGTGTGCGGCCCTGACAACATGTATGGGCTGCTTTATCATGTGGTCTAGCAATGTGTCCATGTTGGTTTATAATCCCGATGCGAGGCTTCATGCGTTCGACAAACGTTTTAATAACAAAGTCGATCTCATTTGGATTGGCCTGACATTTGTTCCGCACGTCGATGGACGAACAGGAAAGGGGGGACGGGGAGACCGTAGAACTCTTGGAATTCAATGCCAACTGTCTGCCGAGGCAAAAGGCGGAGCGGCGTCATGATGACCGTAATATCGGGCCCTCTTAAGGGCAGGAGCATTGCAGTCAAGGATAACTAATAGCGGCATGTCAATACTATACAACATTGCCAATTCCGAAAACCGCCGGCAAGATTGTATTGAGATGCCGGAATGTATTGTGGGGAAGCCGAATCTTGGCTCATCTGTCACGATACAAACATCCTACCCAATCCCGTTCTATGCCCGAGGAGACGGTTATTTAATGAATAGTGGCAGCTGCCATATGGCTGCCTTCGACTGGTTAGACATTATCGTTTGTAGCGATAGCAAGTACTGTTCCGTAGCTCCGTCACGGAGAAGAGCTTGCGTCAAGACTCGTGCAAGGCGAGCTCAGGTATGAGTCATTTGTAGCGGGTAGGGCGGCCGAATTCTATTTTTGAACAAGCAAAGGGGGGATGATAACCATCGCCATCTCTTCAATCGCTGACGGCCAGTCACGCTGTAGTTTTGAACCCGAGTCACAGCTCACTGAGAAAAATTCGTTAAGCTGGTGGAATGCCGTATTGATGTGCCACCAGAGAGCCTCGATTCGAAAGCTCAAATGTTATGTCATGTATAACGGGGACGATGTAGCGCGTTAAATCACGCAAGTGATTTATGAAAGTTATCAATCTTCATATCCGTGCATGTGCCTTAATGTTTGGTCCTATTTGTCAGCGGACGCCAGAATGACGGAAGAGGCACAGTGGGGCCAGCGACTGAGGAAGCTCGAATTATGACGCCGTGCACATGCTAAACTGCGCTCTAGTGAAATCAGAGCTTCCGATCGAGCTTTGTGCGCGCATAAACCCCACATGCAGCTCCATGCTCCCAACTCGTAACTCCGCACCCACAGCCAGTGCGGTTGCTCCAGCTTGGTTCCGAGGCGAAAAAAAAGAGAGGTGTTAAGAGGGCTCTGGGTTCTGGGCTCTCTTGTCGTTGCTGGACAAGCTCCCATTCTGTCAAGGCCATGTGTGATGTGTAAGGTGCAATGCCCAGATCCCCAAGTCCCGTTTCAACTCCTCCCGCCCCTCTCCGCTTGCACCCTCTCCGTCAACATCACCAAGCCTCCTTCATTTCTATCCAGAACCTAGCTCCCCGACATAAACGTAAACAAATCTGCCAAAATGGTCAAAGCTGGTAAGACACCCAACCAACCCCATCTGCCAGGCACACAGATGTAGTTCCCCCACGTTGCTCTTATTATAGATGCTGCTGTGCCTGGACTGGCTGCGTCTGGGGAGGGGGCGAGTTGCTCGCGCTTGTTTGAGCGAGTTTTTTTCCCAAGCAACCTCGTTGGACAATGGCTCCCAAGCAAAGCAAAACAACCTTGATGGAGCAACAGCCCTACCATTCCCAGCGTGTCAAATGTCCCTTGATGGCCCTCCTTCCCTGTCCAACTGTCTAATGACACTTCCAAATGGATACATCTGCTGACGATTGATGCCGCATTGCAGTTGCCGTTCTCCGAGGTGACGCCAAGGTTGGCGGTACCGTCACCTTCGAGCAGGAGTCTGAGTCTGCTCCCACTTCCATCACTTGGGACATCACCGGCAACGACCCCAATGCTAAGCGTGGTTTCCACATTCACACCTTTGGCGACAACACCAATGGCTGCACCTCTGCTGGACCTCACTGTGAGTACTGTGTTGGGAGCAACACCCTAATCCGCCTGGGTGTGGCCGGCCGCTACTGGCCGTTGCTCTGCCTTGCTGTATCAGATAGAGTTGCATCACTGACCTCACTCATCCGTCTCCTAAACAGTCAACCCCCACGGCAAGACCCATGGTGCTCCTGCCGACGAGGCCCGACACGTTGGTGACCTTGGCAACATTGAGACTGATGCCCAGGGTAATGCCAAGGGCTCCGTGACGGATTCCCAGGTCAAGCTCATCGGCCCTCACAGCGTCATTGGCGTACGTCTACATCTACGGCGATACAGGTCCTTGCCAAGTGTTCCATACTAACATTGCTACAGCGCACTGTCGTCGTCCACGCTGGTACCGACGATCTCGGCAAGGGTGGCAACGAGGAGTCCCTCAAGACTGGCAACGCCGGTCCACGACCTGCTTGCGGTACGTATTCCCGCTCCGACTTGCTATAGTGAGAAGCGTATGCTGACAGTTGCAAAGGTGTCATTGGCATTTCTTCGTAAGTTCAGCCCATGCACCACGCTGCTGGGGGAAATACCGGGCATGGTAGGGTATCAAGAGATTGGATAATGCCAAAAGGGGCAAAATAGTAAGATTTGATATGTCTAGGAGTTTAAAATTGAATCCTGATATGATCAGTTGTGATTTATCTGTGCCCTCGTCATCGTGATGAGCTCAATACAGCGTGAAGCTATTCATTTCTCTTCCATAAATGTTGTTGACAGCGTTGTCAATTTGTCGGTTTTTGGCCTTGAGGAGGGGTAGAGTGGGTAGATGCCGTTGCATCACTGGCCCGTACACAAACAGTCAGTATCCTAAGCTTGCCACACAACATCGCGCCACATCGGAAGCTATGGGACACTCGAGAGGGTCTATTAACAATTCTGTTCCAGGTCAACATAGTATATCGTAGCTCAGCAAAAGACCACGTCTTAATGTTACCCGCAGGAGCTTCAACTCGTTCCTTAGCTCAACAGCCCCTCATCTGTTGCCCCGCGCCGGGCGGTCACCACAGCTTGGTCGGGCTGTGCTCGCTTAATTAACCAACTCAGGCCAGGCACTTCGAGCACTTCAAGCACCTAAAACAAGCGCCACGGAAGGTCCCCGGCAACACCCAGTGGTAGTGACTCCGTTACCCGAACATTCGTGACACCTTGCCTCAAGGGCACACGACCGGAGTTGCACCGCGAGACACCGCCTTTGTCTCCTCAACTGACTTCCTTCAAGTTTGAGTAGAGCTTGGTTCATCTCTATTCTACCCAATATCCCCCATCTTCCTTTGTCTCGATCCTCCTAGGTAAGTGTTCTGATTTGATGTTTCTCTTGCACGAGGCTCTGTTCAGACCAATTCTTGCTTTACGTACGTCTTGAAGGTGCTTGCATCTTTCGGGGTTGCACACGCTATGCCTCGTGATACCATTGCTCGATGCGAGTGACATGTGTCAGCAAAACACGGGTTATTCTTTAAAACTCCTAATATTCTTGTCTCGTTGCTCAATGGCGCAATTTCGAAGAGTCAGAAGATCATGAGTGTTGCTGTGCCCACTGCCCAACATTGCTTCGAATCTTGGGCTTAGACCCAGATCACTTTTTAGCTTGGCAGCGCCGCTCAAAGACGATAGCTTGCACAGAAGCAATTTACTAACGTCAAATCCTTGAAACAGTCTTCTTCCGCCCGCCTCGGTACATCATGTCAAAGGTATTCGTCGGCAATGTCAAGAGTGTGTTGAGCGGTGACACACTAATCTTGACAAGCCCTAACAATCCCTCTGCCGAACGAAACTTCTCGCTCGCATATGTCACCGCCCCCCATCTGAGGCGAGAGGGAGACGAGCCGTTTGCTTTCCAATCCCGCGAATATCTTCGTAACTTGGTTGTCGGCAAGCCGATTCAGTGCACAATTCAATACACCATCCCTAACTCTGGCCGAGAGTTTGGCACGGCCAAGTTGAAGGATGGTGGCGAGTTGCCCGACGAACTGGTCAAGGCTGGGTGGTTAAAGGTCCGTGAGGATGCTGGCCGCAAGGAAGAAAACGAAGAGGTCTTGGAGCGTCTTGAAAAGCTCCGTGGTTATGAATCGGCGGCCAAGGCCGAGGGCAAGGGTCTTTGGGCCGGCACCGGTGGTGTTATTGAGGTCCAGAATGATCTTGGTGGACCTGAGTTTATGAAGGAGTGGAAAGGCAAGACTGTTGACGGTGTAGTTGAACGGGTACTCAGCGGCGACC